GGATGCCCACAGAGCCCAAAAGGCATGCGACCAGAAGCAGCTTTTTCACACATCTCCAGTGAAGGTGGGTCCAAATGTGGAATTCTTCGCTCTACTGGGATGAAGTGCTGAATTTAAAACTAATAGGCCATCAGGAATTCCCTGGCGGTCCAGTGGTTAGGACTCTGCACTTTCACTGCTGAGGGCCCGGATTCAATTCCAGGTCTGGGAACTAAGATCCCGGGGCGGGGGGCGAGGGTGGAAAGGCCACCGTTTGTACAGCACTGTGGTGTACAGAATACACTCAGATGCACTGCTCCACTGATCTCCCAGTTCCACAGTTGTTTCTTTTTTCTTAGATGAAGAAACTCGAACTCAGGATGGTTAAGTGACTTACTTAAGGTTCATGACAGTAAATGTGGAAACTAGAGGCCAAACCATAACTTAACTGATGTTAAACCCCATGTCATTTTATGCTGACCCTTAATTTAAGAAATCTTCACAAGAGTCTTCCTTATATTGACTTTTTTTATGTGGATTTTAAATGTGTGAGGGTGACAATTTTTAAAAATTAATTAATTATTTATTTATTTCTGGCTGCGTTGGGTCTTGTTGCTGAGCGCCGGCTTTCTCTATTTGCGGCGAGCGGGGGTTGCCCTTCGTTGCCATGCGTGGGCTTCTCATCGCGACGGCTTCTCTTCTTGCGGAGTACGGGTTCTAGGCACGTGGATTTCAGTAGTTGTGACTCACAGGCTCTAAAGCACAGGCTCAGTAGTTGTGGCACACGGGCTTAGTTGCTCTGCGGCATGTGGCATCTTCCTGGACCAGGGATCGAACCCGTATCCCCTGCACTGGCAGGCGGACTCTTAACCACTGTGCCACCAGGGAAGTCCCGAGCTTGACAAACTTTTGTCAGATGTAACATAAGGGAGGCTTCATCATCATCACTCTCAAACTGCCTACTCAAAACTCCCTTCAGATTCCAGAAAATGGTTAAATATTCTTTAATGCATTGTAGAAACCTTATTCCATATGAACATGCCATCCAATTTTACTTTCCCAGAATTAACATTTCATTATGTGAAGGACCTTTTCAATTCCTCTGAATAAGTGAGTGAGACTTAGGTTTCCCAGACCTTTCCCTTTATAATTGTGTGTCTTCTCTGATTGGCTTCTTGCTCTGGCTACTTTCTACTGACCTTGCTGCCTCTTCTCACCCATATTTCTTTACTCACTGATTTCACCTTTATTGAATCTGACAACTCTCCTCAGATGTGACTCCAGGTACACTACCTCCCACTTCTGTACCCTGTTTAACACCCTCTTCAATCCTGGCTGTACTCCCTGGGATTGAAATGATTTTGTGTCAGACATTCTTTAATTTGCGGACCCTACGACCATTTCACATAACCACTCAGATATTACAGATGGTCCTGGAAAGATTGTGAAACAGTTACTTGGTATCAGTTGTGAGTAATGAGTTCTTTTCTTATATTGGACATTAAGACCATACCATAAGCGTAGATTGTGAGATTTTCACAGCATAAAGCCTGTCACTGATAGAGTAATGAAGAAAATGTTCTCCAAGTCACTATAGAGTTGAGAGGAAAGGGCATTTGTATTAGATTTCCTTATTTAATTCAGAGCCTTAGTTTACTACCCACACCCCTGAAATTGTTTCCTACTTTACTTATGCGTATTTTTTAAATTTTATGTTATTTGTTTGCACCGGGGCTCAGTTGCAGCAGGTGGGCTCCTTAGTTGCGGCCCAAGGACTCCCCAGTTATGGCATCTGGGCTCCCCAGTTGCAACAGGCAAGCTCCTTTAGTTGTGGCTCGCAGGCTCCTTAAATGTGGCGTGAGAACTCTTAGTTGCAGCATGCATGTGAGACCTAGTTCTCTGACCAGGGATCGAACCCGGGCCCCCTGCACTGGGACCACGGAGTCTTAATCACTGCACCCGCACGGAAGTTCCAATTATGTGTTATTTTATTCATCGGCAGGTATACATACTTATCTATTTTCCCCTGTGTTTTTTATAAATACAGAAAAGAGAATAACATTTTAAAATAAAATGAAGGAAAGGCCTAATGTATCTGAGTTTTTCTCAGTAGCACGAAGGGAAATGTTTTCCAGCAAGAGCTGTGGCAAGGTTATCCCAGATGTCAACTGTCTCTACTACCCAGGGGCTCAGAGCCCTTCTGAAGACTCCTAATTGTCCAGGACAGCTCCATTATGACTCACCGTACAGGGCCTAGCCTCCCATGTGACACTCAATATTTAAAAATTAGTCTTCATTTCTCCTTCCCAGCAGGCAGCTTCAGTTGGAGAAAGTAATTTCATTTTCTTATGTACTCATTCCTTCACTCAGTCAACAGACCATCACTCCTCTATTGTATTCCAAGATCTATGCTTGTTTCTGGTAACAAGGAAAGAATAATATATGGTTCCTTCAAGCACTTAAGGAGCTCATAAACTAGTGACAGGGGAAGATGCACAAACAAATCAATAAAGAATTAACAATGCTTTGACTTTATTTGTGTTATTTGAATTTTTATGACTATATTTATATACTATACCCTGTTCAAAATGGAAATGGACATTTAAGAAAGAACTAGTGATGTAAAAAATCCACAGTAATATGTAAGTTCTTTAGAGAGTTAAGACTGGAAATATTTGCACTCTCGAAGAAGCCTGTTAATGCAGATGAATCTCTAATTCTTTTGGTTTCTTTTTTGCATTTATAGAGGTATATGTATTCTCTCTTCTAACAGGGGTTAGTAACTTGGGGAGGGGGTGCTACAGGTTAAGGTCCTAATTCTGTGGCAGGTCCATCTTGTCTTCTCTTCAGGTCATATTCTCAAGCAGGAGCTACAGGATGAGACGACTAAAACAGTTCACTTCCTTTGCCTACCCCCAGCCCCATAATAGGCTTCTGCTGGGTTTCCTTGGTTGCTTTCATCATCACTTTCACCACGAGAGGTCAGGGAACCTTCCGGTTAATCAGGGGCCCTGAAATGATGCAGAAAAGTACTGACTTAAAAATAATAAATAACATGTATTTAGGGCTCACTGTGAACTCATTTCTTAAAATGTCCTAATTAATCTTCACAAACACTCTATGAAATTGGTATTGATAAATCTCAGGTATTTCCAAAATAAATCTCTATGTAGGGTAGTGATATTTTTAGGTCTTTTATGTCTTTAGGTTCATCTCGGCACCAGACATAAGGCGGTTCAAAATAATACACTTGCCCTAAACAGCTCCAGATGCCAAGAATTGGCAAATTACTACTTTGGTTTCCATGGGTGGTCAAAAAGGATCATCAGGGTAAACTCTGTACTTTGACTAACCAGACTCTTCAACATTGAACTCCTAGACTTTAGAGAGAGGAATAGAACAGGGCTATGGGGAGGAGATGGGAGAGGTTTCCACATGGAAGTATCTGAGCATTGGCCTGCCACCTAGAATTAGTGATAATCTCAATGACTTGGATGGTGGTGTCCATAATTTTCTCCAGTATTTGTATGGCATATAATAAAAAATAGTTGTCCATATCTAGTCATTTATTTGCAAGTCTCAGTTGATTTTGAAGCTATAGCATACCTAAACTATTACCTGGGATTGCTGGAGTTTAGTTTTTATTTCTAACAACAGTATATGTTAAAGTCTAGCCTTTAATTCAAAGTCCTAACAGCTTCAGGATCTTTCTAACCTTGAAGAAAGGGAAAATACAGATATTGTGACACCACTTCAGAAGCAAAGCCTGAAGCTCTTCTGTGCTTTAGAGGTGGTGTTGACCTCGCACGAGTGCAGGAGTCCCAGAGTTGACATGGTTGAGGAAAGTTTGGATAAGTTGGAGGAAGGTCTGTTTTCCAGTATGTGTGTGTGTGGGGAGGTGAGGGAGTGGGATTTCTCTTTTTTCCTTTCTTTCTGAAACTCCACTTTTCAGATACGTCATCACCTTTTCTAAGCAACTAAAGCCCTGGGCAGAATTTTTCTGCTCGACAATATAGGTTTTTGTTTTCGGCAATACCTGACAGCACCTTAAACTTTAGGATTTTAGAACTGACTGCCTGCCAAGAAGCTTAGGAGGAGGGAAAATTAGTTAGTTGTTTTGGTTTTTTTTTGGTTAATAATTTGTTTTGTGCTAAAATAGTCCTTCAAATACACATGTCTTCTGGCCTACAGTTATCCCAACAAAATCATTGTCTAAAGATTGAAATAAACTCATGTGTAAATGTTCAGTCCTTTGCCTCCTATAGAAGGGCCTGAGCATAAAAAGTAAATGTAGATCCCTAGAAAGGGGATTCCGATTGATACTGAGTTTATTCCTAGAATCCATGGCACTTGGGCTTAGGGTTTTAAGTCAGAGGCAGGGCTGTTAGCGAATGGAGTGGAGGAGGCTCCACCATCCACCTGAGTGGGTGATGGTTGAGTAGAGACCAGATCATCTTCAGTACCACCAAATCTATCTCACTGTATGAATCCAGCTCTTTACGCACACAAGAGCAGGGTCTGTAGCAGTGTAGCCTCAGCTTGTCCATTTGAAATCTGTGAGTAATATGAGATTTGTGCCACGTTTTTGGTTTGCATTTCCCATCTAGTATTTTAGGAACTTCCAGAATAGATCTGAGCAGTAAAATGTGCCATGCCGGGGTATACCTGCAACAGAGACATCCACCTGTACCCCAGTGTTGTGCCTGCCCTTAATCACTAAGATAATGTTCTAAGAATCACAGATGCATTTTTAGTTTTAAACATATAACCTAGAAATCAGTTATTCATATAGGCATTTAAAATTTTTCTCTTTTGGTTGGATTTAGGGTCATTATCATTCCTTATGTAAAGGAAGGTAACCCAGAAGCTTGCTCTTCAGAAAGCTATGACAGATGCATCCAGAAACTGCTGATTGTGGTTCTAGGTAAGACCTTTTTGATTGTCGTTGAAGTGCTTCAGTTTCAGTGAGCAAATAAAATTATTTGAAAAGTTAATTGGATGAAAATAATGGTTATCTACAACATTACATATTCTTTCATTCACCAGATGCTTTCACAGCAACAGTCTTAAATTTGTTCTTTGTGTCATTTATGAGAAAAACGACAGCAAATATTATTGTCCCCAGTGTTTAGATGTAGAATGACTTGCCTCAGTTCATACAGAAAGTGTTTGATCCACTTCTTCCTCAATTGCTTGCTTATCATACAGAATAGTGTAGTGATTATAAGCCTTGGACACCTGTGTTTAAGTCCTAACTTTGTCTCTTAGATTTTGTTGTTGTTGTTCTTGCAATTTTAGGTTTTTCCAGCGAGAGACATTTGTAGGTATTTAATATCTCTAAGCTGCAATTTCCTTATCTGCAAATAGGTTTAGTAATTCAGCTTACCACCAAATGGGGGATATTGTAAGAGTAAATGAGACGGTGAATGTAAAAAGCTTAGAACTATGCCTGAAACATAGTAAGCAGACAAAATATATTGACTATTATTATTACCGTTGTTTTCTTGTTGAAGAGTTTATTAAATTATGTTTTTGGAATCAGTTTAATTTCAGTTTTCATTTCTGGTATATTGGGTGAATATGATTCTTATATAATAATCGGCTACGTTTTTGTGAGCCTTGAAACTGGTCATGCTATTGAAGAGAGTTGATTGTGTTCCCTATCGAGTTATACAGCAGTGAGAATGTCACAGGCTGTGCCCAAAGGAAACTTTATGATTAGTAGATTCCTGGAACAGAATTGCTCCCCTGCTTCACAGCCCTGCAGGCTTAGAGACTGAGAAATCCTAGCTAAGTTGTCCGAGACCTTATTTGCTTGTAAGAGTTGACCCTGGATTGGTCTTGGCCTTCCAGCCTGGGCAGTCCTTACAGTGAAGTTTGACTTCCCTGGTCATCAGGCAGAATCTCCATCAGCTGTCAACTCTGGGTAACAACATTTAAGAACCAAACTAAACGCCTGGGTTGTTTGTGCCTAATATGCCAAGGTACTCCTTATATGTACCCGAAACTCCTTAGACCAAAAAGCCTGGTGGCCCTTGCTTGCCTTGAGGAATGCTGTATTGTCCAAACGGTACATGGGCCAGTTTCTACCAGTACAGGGTTCAAATGCTCTCTCTCTGTGTCTGTGTCTGCGAAGCTTTGTTCATTGTATTTGGTAGAATATTGGTCCCAAGGAGTAGGCATTTGCCTTGCTTCTAATAGGAAGTATCTATTATAGTCCAGTGGTATCTATCCCAGGTTTGAACTCTCTTTGACCCCCACCTAATGCCTTCCTATATAATTGTATTGTGATTGAACATTTTTGTTTCCACAGCTTTTAATTTCTATGTCCTTATTCCTTCGTTATTATTTCTAAGATCATAAAGTTTTTGAACCAAAGTTGACACTTCTTATATATGTTTTCACAAATAATTATAATAAAAACTGTAATGTCAGATGAGGGAATTTCTAGGAAAATGCTCTTATTTTCTGCTTTTAGAAATGAAAAGAATGTCTAATTATTCGATGCTACCATTGTATACAGGAAGTTTTAGAACAAAAAAACTTCTGAATTGATCCTTGCTAACTTTATTTCAGAAAGTGGTAAAACAGGTGTGGCATATAGACCCTGTGAAGAGGTCACAGATGGTAGAACCGAAGAGGAACTACAGGATTTATTTCAAGTATGTGGAGATAAAAGCTCAAGGGGTACACAGCGAGTGGAGCCATAATTCAAAACAACCAGCAGGATTTGGAAGACTTCAGCATATCTATTCAGTTCTGTCTTCCTTAGGGAAAGGTGAAACTCTGAAACTGCTTTTGAGGCAGGGAATTTCTAGGACTTTTCCAAGTCCAGCGCCTTGGCTCTGGCCTCTTACTTGAAGTTTGGAGAGCAGGATTGAGAGTCATCAGTGTACGTCTACAGTAGTGGACACAGGAGAAGACACAGGCCTTTTAGAACTCCCCTCAAATAGAATTGCAGGTATTTGGGAACAAAGTAACTATGGTCTTAAGTGTGATTATGCTACACTGTGATTATGTTACACTACATAAAAACTATTCATGCCTTTCATGTAAGGCATATTACCCAGATCTCAGCATCTCAGATATACCTTGTGTTAAATAATTTGCCAAAGAACCTTTCTGTAAACCAGTTATATGGATGCCTCGAATTAGGGATTAAGTTGTCAACGTAATTTCTGAAAGAAAACATTAATGTACTGCATATAGGATTTTTATTTAAAAGGAGCAAAAAATGTGTTTCATGTAATTGAGAGCTTAATTTAGGGCTGGATTTCTGATTATTTAACTTAACCCCCAATGTTGCAAAGCGTGTTTTGAAGGGACGAAAGTAGAGAAAGAAAAGGTGGTTTTGTTCTGAAAAATGAAAAAAATTTGAAAGTTTTTCCTGTACAAAATAAGTATTTTAATTTTAATTAAATTTAAATCAGTCAAGGAAACTTGAAACGTTTCCATGTTTGGGCTTTCAGAAGTTTAGCTTCCTGTGTAATGTGAGAGGAAAGGATTCCGTATTTATACTAAAGATTTTGGAAACCTGATTATAACAACAGATCCACTCCTAAATGAGGCCAATCTTGGAATCAGTTCCATTTAGAAACCATTATGTGCTAGGCACCGGAAATAAGATGAAGCTACTTCTCTCTTGGAGTTTAGGTGTTAAAGGTGTACCAGACAATTAAAAAGGACTAAAATTAAATAGATTATGAAAAGGACTGTGAAGCAAGTAAACTGTGTGCTAGTTCCAGTATTTCAAGAAAATTACTTAACATGCTGACTTTAACATTCTAAGTGTCTTCTCCATGTGTGCACACAGGGTAGACCTCTGTAGTTTTTTCTAGATTAATGGCTCTGTTGAGACAAGGTGGGATGGGGGAAGTTTTCCCATGCTAATGTAAAGGGTCATTCACGTGGTTTTAGACTCTCTTTCCCAGAATGAATTGCTCACCTGCCCCAAACCCCTCCTACAGAAGTTCTGGAGTCATCCCTGATTCAGTGGTGACCTGCTAATAATAGAGAGGTGAATGAATAATGAGACGTGAATACTGAGAGTTTGGAGAAAATGGCAACATTTTAGCATAATTATAAGGTGTGTTCCCCTACCCCCACCCTAACTGGTGCTCATTTTGCAGGTCAGCTACTTTTCTTCTTAGCCGTGTGGCCAAAGGGAGGAAGAATGTCTCTCAGACTTCAGCTTTGAGGAGGAAGAGTTCAGATTGCCAGAACTGGACTAGCACTTTTGAATTTCCCAGAATGCCAAGTCCTGTGGTTCCCTCGGGAAGCTCTGCATCTGTCCCAACCCCCCTTCACCACTGGGCTGCTGGAGACACCCATTAGAATGGCTCAAATGTGAACAATGACAAGAACAAATTCTGTAGGGGTGGTGGAATAACTTTTTCACAACATAGGCCTGGTCCTGTTGGTATTAGGACTCTTTAATTTAGGCGTCCTGCGATAGTAGCTGTTTTTAGGCCTAAGAAGGAACAGCTCAGTGGTGTACAACAATTTCAGATGAAACTAACTAATATTCAATGACTATCTCTAACTACTCGGTTGTTGACTTCTATTAGTCATTATTCTCCTGGTTTTAGCTCTGATGTGGGGATTACAGAGGCGTAAACATTTAAATCTTCATAATATGTGTATTTGTAGCTTCAGTATCATTACTGACCCATAGTTGTTTATGGTTTGGGAAGAGTTATTGCTTTCATGTATCATGTAAAGGATTCACAATGATGATAGAGCAGCTAAGATTACAATAATGGCTAGTAAATTGTTCACATTTTCTCTACCTGTGCATCTATTGTATATATATGAGTTAGTTTAGATGTCAATATTAGTGAAATAATATAGAGGACTAGAGAACTTATTTTAAAAATCACTATTGTGTGATGATGAAAATGTATAAGTTCTTCCATAATTGATGATGTTGTGTCTTGAGAGCCTAGATGAAATTGATATACCTTAGTGATATACAGGATTTTAGCCTATGATTTAACTTTGACAAAGCTACATCACCTTTTACTTTTATCTCATTTATTGAGAAAGAGATAACTGTTATTGTGTTGGCTTGAAACTGGTTGAAAAGGACTTGAGTCCTTCCTTATTTTACATTTACATAGGTAGGATCTTGAAACATAGGATATGATGTAGGGCGTTCGTGTAACCATTCTAGGTTAGGAGTAGCAGTTTCCACTGCTAATACTTCTTGTTTAGACGCAAAAACTTTTCAAAGAATGAAGATTATTAGCATTACCGCTGCTACTGAGATGAATGTGCCTAAAGACAAAATACTTCATGTTGTGTGTGCCTCAGGGTACTCAGACTAAC